CTATCTATCTATCTATCTATCTATCTATCTATCTATCTATCTCTATCTATCTATCTATCTATCTATCTATCTCTCTCTATCTCTATCTCTACCTATCATCCATCTATCTATCATCTATCTATCATCTATCATCTCTATTTCTCTCTATCTCTCTACCTATCATCCATCCATCCATCCATCTATCCATCCATCTATCTCTATCTATCTCTCTACCTACCTATCATCTATCTATTTATCTCTTCTCTCTACCTATCCATCCCATCTACCGACCTACCTACCATCTATATCTATCTATCTATCTATCTATCTATCTATCTATCTATCTATCTATCTATCTATCTATCTATCTATCTGATCTGTCTATCTATCTATCCCTACCTACCTACCTACCTATCATCTCTCTCTCACTCTCTCTCTCCCTATCATCTATCTGATCTACCTACCTACCTACCTATCATCCATCGATCCATCTATCTATCTATCTATCTATCTATCTATCTATCTATCTATCTACCTACCTACCTACCTACCTACCTACCTACCACCTCTCTCTCTCTCCTATCATCTATCTATCTATCTATCTATCTATCTCTCTATCTATCTATCATCTATCTATCATCTATTTCTCTCTCTCTCTATCTATCCATCCATCCATCTATCCATCGATCTATACTCTATCTCTCTATCTATCTACCTACCTACCTATCATCTGTCTATTTATCTCTCTCTCTCTACCTATCCATCCATCTACCTACCTACCTTCCTACCATCTATATCTATCTATCTATCTATCTATCTATCTATCTATCTATCTATCTATCTATCTGATCTATCATCTATCTATCCTACCTACCTACCTACCTACCTATCATCTCTCTCACTCCTCTCTCCTCCCTATCATCTATCGACTACCTACCTACCTACCTATCATCCATCGATCCATCGATCCATCTACTATCTATCTATCTACATCTATCTATCTATCTATCTATCCATCTACCTACCTACCTACCTACTTACCATCTCTCCTCTCTCTTCCTATCATCTATCTGATCTATCTCCTCCTACCTACCTACCATCTCTCTCTCTTTCTATCATCTATCTATCTATCTATCTATCTATCTATCTATCTATCTATCTATCTACCTACCTACCTACCTACCTACCTACCTACCTACCTACCTACCATCTCTCTATATCTATCTGTCTATCTATCTATCTATCTATCTATCTATCTATTATCTATCTATCTATCATCTATCTATCTATCTATCTATCTATCTACCATCTCTCTCTCTCCCTCCCTTCCTCATCCATCTATCATCTATCTACGTGCAAAGGTAGAAGTTGTGCAACCTGAACAAAATGAAGTGCAAAGGAAGGAGTATCCTCAGAGTGCCATCAAAGTGGCCGCTGTGATGATGCAGTCAAAGCGCCACTTGTTTTCATGTGCATTGCACAATCGCAACCACCAACTTGACATTTTTTGATGTCATCTCTATAGGAAATCCCTTCATGATGTCTTCATGAGGATATCTGTGTAGGAAATCCTTCCAAACATTTTTTTTTTAAATCATCATGCTCCTTCATATATATGACTTCAGAAACGTCCCCAGGAGCTGAAAAAATTCAGTATCTAAATTAAGTATGAGTAAGTCTGATACTGCACAGAGGCCAAATAAAATAGGGCACATTTCTTTCTGGTCATGGACCCAAAGTCCAGGCATAAAGTAAAGGCATTAACATCCTTTACTGTCAGTTTAAAAATATAATTTGTATTTTATTGCTGCCCTGCAGAAGGCAAGAGGGTTTTGGATTATTGCTGCTTTCTCAAAAAATGTATAAAAACAGCCATTTGAAATGAAGTTTTTAACTTCTAGTGTAAGGTCCCAAAATGTACTTGAGTTACCAGAATGCCAAAGAGAGACTCAAGACAAGGCTTGGAAAAATATCAGCTTTAATTTGTACAAAGAAGAGTTGGGTAGACCATACCGCTATATACAGACAAAGAGCATACAGTGAAAGGCCACACCTTGGGGAAGGTATGGCGTCCTTTTATACCTTCAGAGGCATTAGCTTAATACCCAATTCTGGCCCCCTGGCCCATGCCTTCCTTGTATCCCTGCATTGGCTGTGCAGCAAGGAGCAGGGGCAGGGGGGCTGAGCACCTAGCAACAGAGGGCTGGGTGTTTAGCAACCCCATTTCTTGAGATATTCACCAGGCACAGAGTGGTACAGAAAAACAAGATAACAGAGAGGTGAGATCACTGGTAGAAACACATGGCAGAGGCAATTCTTATACTTAACAAAGCAATTCTTACAGAAGCAAAACAGCAAGTCAAACCAATTCTACTGACTCTACTATTATGTCCCACTAAATCTACCTGTTCTATTATTATTATATCCCTTCACTAGTTTACTTTTTTTTTTTTAATTTGATTTATATGCCGCCCTTCTCCGGAGACTCAGGGCGGCTTACAGTGCATTCAGCAATAGCCTTCATCCTTTTGTATATTTATACAAAGTCAGCTTATTGCCCCCACAAACTGGGTCCTCATTTAACCTACCTTAGAAAGGATCAGCAGAAATTGCAGGCAGCTGTGTTAATAACAGGGTGCACTAAACCACTGTACTATCATTTCTATTCTTTTACATATTTATATATATTCTTCTCCTCTGCACATTATATATTTCATAACCTAGTCCCGCATTCATCCTCCTGACGGTGAAGTCATTGTTGGTATTTATATGAAATAAGCATGGAAATACACTCCCAATTATCAGTTCTTAATTTAAAACTCACTCTTTACTAAATATATCTTTTTCCATTTTCTTTTCGCTTAATCCAATCATACCACTTGCCCCATACCTTAAAATACTTTGAGCTTTCCTTATCCTTTAATTTCAGTGTTAGTTGATCTGATTTCTATTATTAGTTTTAATGGAAAATGCATACTCCTTAAATATGCAAGGAAAACCAATGCAGCAGAAATAATTTTAAAAAATATTAGGCTGTGATGTTCAGGAGAGATGGAGCATCGACCTTGTCCTCAGGCAAAAAACCCAAAAGATTACTCAAAAACTCCTATGAATTGGGAGTGGAGGAAATGGACAGAGTTGAATAAATGTTAAATTAGGATTTATTATATAGTCTTATAGGGGAAGGCAGCTTTGGAATGTTATATTAATATATACAAAAGAGTAAATGTTACAAAAGAGTAAATGTTAAATTAGGATTTATTATATAGTTTTAAAGTGGAAGGTTGTTTTGAAATGTTATATTAATATGTAGATATATGTATGGGGGAGGAAAAAGGGCAGATTATTACTAAATTGGGAGTCATAACAATATTACTGTGCTAAATCAGAAGTTATTATACAATGTTATAGTAGAATGTTATTTTGAAATGTATGGTAAAAGGGGGAAGTAATAATATTAATAATATTATTAGAAAGTAAGGGTCAGTATTTGGAGGAGGGAGTAAGGGGATGGTAAAATATTATATAATCTGTTATGAATTAGGTTTTTATTTTGAAGAAGTCACAGGGGGGACGGGTGGTGAGGGGGGGTTAGGGAGGAGGGGGGGAGAAAAAAGGGGGAAAAATTTGTATTTGAAAACTTTTTCAATAATAATAAAAACAAACTCCTATGAATTCTCCCAAACCCCTCTGAACCCATAGCATCTCACCCCTGTGGAACACCCACAACTTCTGAGGGCGATCTGTTCCACTGGTTGGTTGTTCTCACTATCAGGAAATTCCTCCTTAGTTCTAGATTGCTTCTCTCCTTAGTTAGCTTCCATCCATTGCTTCTTGTCCTACCGTCAGGTGCTCTGGAGAATAGGTTGACCTCCCCTCCTCTCTGTGACAGCCCTTCAAATACTGGAAGACTAACATGTCCTTCCTGGTTCTTCTCTTCATTAGACTGGACATACCTACCATGTGGAAGCCCCTCGGATAATGAAACACCACAATGATGTCATTCCTAGTTCTTCTTTTCAGTAGACTAGACGTACACATTTCCTGCACCTGTTCTTCATATGTTGTAGCCTCCACTCCCCTAATCATCTTTGTTGCTCTTCTCTGCACTCTTTCCAGAGTCTCCACATCTTTTTTACATCATGGTGACCAAAATTGGATGCAGTATTCCAAGTGTGGCCTTACCAAGGCATCATAAAGTGGTAGTAACACTTCTCATGACCTTGATTCTATCTCTCTGTTAATGCAGCCTAGGGTTGTGTTGGCTTTTTTGGCCAGCTGCAGCATAGTGCAACACACCAAAGCTTAAATCCCTTTATTTATCAATGTGCTTATGGTCTCTGGATCCAAAGTAGGGGTGAAATCCAGCAGGTTCTGACAGGTTCTGGAGAACCGGTAGGGGAAATTTTGAGTAGTTTGGAGAACCAGCAAATACCGCCTCTGGCTGGCCCCAGAGTGGGGTGGGAAGGGAGATTTTGCAGTATCCTTCGCATGGAGTGGGGTGGGAATGGAGATTTTGCAGTATCCTTCTCCCTGGAGTGGGGTGGGAATGGAGATTTTGCAATATCCTTCCCCCCGGAGTGGGTGGGAATGGAGATTTTGCAATATCTTTCCCCCTGGAGTGGGTGGGAATGGAGATTGTGCAGTATCCTTCCCCTGGAGTGGGGTGGGAATGGAGATTTTGCAATATCCTTCCCCCTGGAATGGGTGGAAATGAAGATTTTGCAATATCCTTCTCTCAGGAGTGGGGAGGGAATGGAGATTTTGCAGTATCCTTCCCCTGCCATGCCCACCAAGCCATGCCCACCAAGACACACCAGGCCCACCAAGCCATGCCCACAGAACCAGTAGTAAAAAAAAAATTGGATTTCACCACTAATCCAACGGAACCGAATGCCTGGCCACCTAATCACTGCCCTGAGGCTTGGCACAACAGCATTTAGTGACTACCAATCCTGATTTTCATGCACGAAAAGCTCGGTGCTAATTGTCTTTTGAAAAGAAAGGGGCACCCCAGAATAGCAGCAAAGTGTTTCTCAGTCCCAATATCCCCACTTGAGATGGGGGGGATGGAAAATGACACTCACTGCGCATGCTGTGTTCTCACTGTCTGACAGCCGTTGATGCAGGTCAAACCAAAGAGTCTGTTGAGGGGGGAAAAAAAAGAAAGAAAGAAATATTAGTAATATTTTAATGGAAATAAAACCTTGCAGGGGAAGGCAGAAAGAAAGCAGCTGGCTGGTAACTTCTGCCATGAAAACCTGAGATGCAAATTAAGGACGAAGGGGCTTTGGATCTCATCTATGCGACTGGCAGTAGACCAGAAAAGAATTTCTCTCTAATCTCCCCATTACTAAAACTGAGCAGTCCCCTTGGCTGAACTGCTGATGGAGAAGCAAGCTTTCAGAAAAAGATCCTTTTCCCTTGGGGGAAATGCAACCATCTGCAACAAGGAGCTATGCCCTTAGGAAAAGTCTGGTAACTTTGTACAATTTTAGGTGGAGATATTCACCAGGGGGAAAAAAAAATGAAGTTTGTTTATTCGATTTCGATTTTCGATTTGATTGGATTTGTATACCACCCTACTCCCGAAGGACTCAGGGCGGTGAACAGCCACAGAATAAAACACATCAATGCAAAAATTGAAAATAGAATAAAAACGAATTAAATAATTTGGCTGAGACAAATTTGAAATACCCAATAATTTAAAAACAAATTAAAATTTACATTTAAAAGGGGAAAAGATTTAGGCCAGGCCAGCTTGATGAAATAGATTTTATTAGAACAGCTGAGAATGAACTCATTCTCAGCGTAGTCCAAACTAATTCAAAACAAATTCTTCATAACACAATTCTTCAGCCTTGTCACCAACCTTGGTCTAATTAGGCAACCTGCCAAAGGCTTTTCTTGGCAAAAGTTCAGAAGCAGAAGACGCCGACAAGAAATAAATGCAGCAAGACAAGAAACAAATCTATCAACGTTGTTTTCAGACAAAGAGCCACGAGAGCCATTGCTGGTCTTTTAAGCCTTATGGGAGGGGCCAGTCATCTCTTGGCCTTACTCCAGAGTCGTCCTTTTTGCTTTAGCTGCTCTTGCCTTCTGGCAGCTCTTCTCATGTGTGCATTAGGAACAGGCTCCTCCTGGGTAGGTAATGTTTATTTTTATTCATTTTACAATTCTTAAAGCCTGCCCCACTTTCCAAGGACGTAAATCAAAAAGAAAATTTAAAAAATGATGATGATGATGATGATCATCATCATCATCATCATCATCAAAATAGATAATCAAACTTGGCCAATAAAAATTCTATTCTACTCTACTCTACTCTACTCTACTCTACTCTACTCTACTCTACCCTACCCTACCCTACCCTACCCTACCCTACCCTACCCTACCCTACCCTACTCTATTCTATTCTATTCTATTCTATTCTATTCTATTCTATTCTATTCTATTCTATTCTATTCTATTCTATTCTATTCTATTCTATTCTATTCTAAAAAGATCCTTTTCCCTTGGTCCCAGTGTTGCAGAATATATAGCCTCGTGCTACATAACTAAGCTCCATTTCATGCTGAATAAACTAAATTATTTATGTATCCTAAATAGAAAACTATCGTACGATAGATTTTTTACCCCAAAAGTTTTTTATTAAAATAAATTTGATAAAAATAAAAAAAATCCGATTTAAATCAAAAAAATCTGATTTTTTTAAAAATTTTTTTTAAAAATTATTGATTTTTATCCACCCTGCTATAAAGTGTCATCTAATTCTACTCATCTGATTTCTACTCTTTTCCACTTCTGCCAGGAATGGCTATTTTCCTCCATCAGGGGGCAAAGCTTTCCAAAAGCAGGATTTTCAGTTATTTCAAAAACAATTCTTAGAAATGTAAAATCGAAAGCCCACAAACGTTAACTGATTTTTGTACTTTTTTTTTTTTAAAAAAGCCATCCTCTGTTACCTTGACAACTACTTTCCAAAAATAAAGTAAGGATAATCATTGTTTTATGGTGGTTATCCTCTCCCTCGAGTTGTTATGACAACATAAAAGGAAGAAATGTAAGATTTCATCAAACAACTTTTCCCAAAGAGGCTACTCAAGATTTAAAGGTTCTCGACATGCGTACACTCAACACACGAAGAGGGAGAAGATAAAAAATGTAGGAGATGACATGGGTGAGCCTGAAAGGGTGTGGGGGGGGGTCAAATATGTCATCAGCCTCAAGTCCCTTCATGCCCACCAGAGAGCTAAATCCAGCCCTCCTTGAATTCCTTGGACTCTTATCTATGGCCAATTCACTTTGACCATTAGTAGTTTAGATTTGTTGCGATCAAGGCCCAAGTAGTGATTACCAAACACAATTCAGTCCTCAACAAACTTATTTTTTTAAAGCAGCTGGGAATTAATTCATTCTCAGCTTAGTCCAAAACAAAATTCTTAATAACCAGTCCGTCGGCCTTATCACCAACCTTTGATTTCTTTGGCAACCTGCCAAAGGTTTTTCTTGGCAAACCCCCCACAAAGTTCAAGAGACGCTGACAAGAAGCACTGGAATCAATGTTGATTTTCTATAAAGAGCCCAATGGTCGTTGCTGCTCTTTTAAGCCTTATGGGAGGGGCCAATCTTCTTCTGGCCTTACTCCCGAGTTGTCCTTTTTGCTTTAGCTGCTCTTGCCTTCTGGCAGCTCTTTGCATGCGTGCACTAGGAACAGGCTCCTCCTGTTCCTCTGCATCTCTGCTGTCTGCCTCTGGAGCCTCCGGAGTCTGTGCATCACTCCCAGATGGCCCTGGCCCCATCTCTGCCTCCAACGCAGAGCACTCGTCCGAGGCTTCCCCAGACTCCAGGACTGGTTCATTGTCCTCATGAGCCTCCTCACTGTCTGACTCAGCTGACAGGTCCGCAGGCTGCTGGCGGACCACAACAAGATTCTCCTAGAGAACTTAAGCTTGTAACAAACCTTTATATCCATTTTAAACTGCCTGGACTTCCTGATTTTTCTGCGCTTGACAGAAAATGGTTTGCCCTTCTTTCTTTTATTCCCATTTCCCTCGAAGACAGTGGTTCTCAACCTGTGGGTCGCGACCCCTTTGGGGGGTTGATCGACCCTTTCACAGAGGTCGCCTAAGACCATCGGAAAACACATATTTTCAATGGTTTTAGGAATAATTTTATGGTTGGGGGTCACCACAACATGAGGAACTGTATTAAAGGGTCGCAGCATTAGGAAGGTTGAGAACCACTGCTCTAAGACAACTCAAGTGGCTGCATTTCCAAAGTTATGAACACAGAATAATAAGGTTGGAAGGGACCTTGGAGCAGGCGTGACATGCTCCCGGTTTAGTCCGGATCGGGTGATTCGGAAGCGATTGTGGCAGGTGGTTTGGAGAACTGGTAGCGATGGCGGTGCAAGCCTCCACCCACCCGCCTGAGTGTTGTTACTTCCTGGTTTTAACTAGGAAGCAATGTGTTTTTTACTCTCTGCACATGCGCAGGCTTTGCACATGTGCAGAGGGTCTGCGCCAGTGGTGGGTTCCTCCCGGTTTGGCCCAGTTCTCCCGAGTCGGTAGTGGTGACGATGTGATGTCACCGAACCGGTTCTGCCCCCCCGTGCCCCCCGTGCCCCCCCGCACCCCCCCACCCTCTGCGTTATTCTTACCTTTTATTTGGCCCCACCCCCAATCTATTGCTGCCTCCTGAGTCCCAGCTGATGGCTAGAGGGAAAAAAACTGTTTAAACTCTTTCTGTGGGGCTTCAAAGGGCTGCCCTACGGCTGATCAGTGCCCTCGTCACCTCCCGCCTGGACTATTGTAATGCTCTCTACATGGGGCTCCCCTTGAGGAGCACCCGGAGGCTCCAACTGGCGTAGAGTGTGGCCGCACGGGTGGTTATGGGAGCGACATGGCGCTCCCATGTAACACCCCTCCTGCGCGAGCTACACTGGCTCCCGGTGGTCTTCTGGGTGCGCTTCAAGGTTTTGGTTACCACCTTTAAAGCGCTCCATGGCTCAGGACCTGGGTACTTGCAGGACTGCCTAATACCACCAATAGCCTCCCACCGGCCGGTACGCTCTCCTAGGGAGGGGGTCCTCCAGGTGCCGTCGGCCAAACAATGTCGACTGGCGGCCCCCAGGGGGAGAGCCTTCTCTGGGGGGCACCTACTATCTGGAACGAGCTCCCCCAGAAGATACGGAGGATCCCGGATCTGCGCACCTTCCGCCGCGCTCTTAAGACCTTTTTATTTCACCAGGCGGGCCTGGCCTAACTTTCTCCCTCTTTTTAAACAATTTTAATAATTTTAATATTTTTTAATATTTTTAATACTCAAAGTTTAAATTTGTTTTAAATTGATTGGGGTTTTAATCTGTCTGGGCCAAACTATTTAATTCGATTTTAATTCTGCTTTTTAAATTTTGTATATATGTATTTTATTGTTGGCTGTTCACCGCCCTGAGTCCTTCGGGAGTAGGGCGGTATATAAATCAAATAAAAATAAAGTAAAGTAAAAGAAAACAAATGAGTAGACCAGTGCCTGCAAAAAATAAATGGGTAAATTGGTACAGCTCTGCAAGCAGTTAAAAGCCTGGTAGACCAGTACCTCTGCTAAATCCTAAAGAATTGTCACATGACCATCAAGCCACGCCCACAAAATAAGCCACACCCACAGAACCAGTAGTAAAAAATTTTAGAACCCACCCCTGGTCTGTGCACGCTTGTGATGTGGCGCATGTGCTTCCAAACCAGTAAGGAAGGTAAGTAGATTTCACCCGTGGTTTGGAGGTCTTCTAGTCCAGCGGTCACTAACCGGTGGTCCACGGACCACTGGTGGTCTGCAAGAAAATTTTGGTGGTCCGCAGAAAAATTATTTGCATTTTTAATATTGCACCAAATACTAGTTATCTTTTTTAAAAAATCATATTGATGATGCGCAGGATTTAAAATTATGAATTTAGTGGTCCCTGAGGTCCGAAGGGTTGGTGACCCCTTTCTAGTCCAATCTCCTGCTCAAGCAGGAGACTGAATACCCTTCGGGACAAATGACTGTCCAATCTCTTCTTGGAAACCTCCAATGCGGGAGCACCCACAACTTCTGGTGGCAAGGTGTTCCACTGATTAGTTAGTTGTTCTCACTGTCAGGAAAT